CTCTTGTCATCAAAGAGAAAATTCTTGTAAATCAAATGAAGATGGAGAAGCAAACTCATGTAAGGTGAAATATTTGGACCAGAAGGGAATGCTTTCAAAATGGTGATTGGATGCATGGCAGCAAAGGTGAAGGTGAAATGGCCACATGGAGACCAAGGTGTGTAAAAGATTGAACAAAAAATTGGTGTGTGTGCTAAAGCAGCAACATGATTTCATGGAGTAGGCTGTATAAGTAAAGATCTGTAAATGTATTTAAGCAGTGAGGCTGGATGCCAGAAGGAGGGGAAGGTAAGGAAAAACTGGAAAGCTGTTAAATGAAGTTTGGAAGAGAACTATGACAAAATACTTCCAGCTATATAATGATGATTTGGAAAATAATGAAAATGCAATGAAAAACTAGGAGCACAGCTGAAAGCTGTGTTGGCAGATTTACAATATCAGTATTAGGAAATGTTCTTCAGATGTTTATTCCAGGGCCACCTGGAAAGGTACAGTGAATACAGATCAAAAAGGCCTTGTGAAAGATGAAATCAGGCTAGATTTCAGCTATTGCTTAAAAATACCTCCCCTTCAGTCCAGCAGAAAGTGGAAGTAATATAAATGTTTGGATTTTCAGAGAACCCTGACAGACGTGTATGATGTAATAGATAAATAATAATCTAAATTATATTTAATTTTTTTAACAATAAAGAACTTTACATCTAAGCAGCAAGCTGAACATTAAACCCACCAATTTTTGCATGATAATCTTCATGAACTTTACATAGTGACTACTTCTCTGGAATATGAGCCCTGCTGAATCACTATTATGAGATTTCCTTTAAATGCATCACTATTTCTTTACCTGTATCCATGACTTCCTCTACTTCCCACTTTCTTCTGAAGAAAGGTAAGGATCAGAACATGGTCTGATGTGAGCGGAGCCACACAGGTAACCACAGCCAGGTCAATGTCCAAAGTGCTTTGATCCTAGGAGAATCAGAGTGCAAAGGGACAGTTTAACTGCCTGTCAGCAATAAAACAGGGAGGCAATATCTGGTTACTGTGACCTTGGAGATGGAGTCACACACACAGGTAAGCAGACTGAGAAGCTGGAAGCGCGTGCAAAGCAGCTGTAGGATTGTCAGAATGTTTCTAAGCAGAGATGCCATGATCCAGACATTGCTGAAAGGTTATTTGGTCTGATATGCAAGGGGCCATAATTAATAATAATGTCAACAGCTTTAAAAGCTTCACAGCAGCCTGCAAGTTGCATCGGTGAGAGGTTTGAATTGCATGAGTGAATCCCTGTTTATGTTGAGTAGACAGGCATATGCCTGAGGCAAACTGCCTTGTAAACAAATGTTAAATTGGACCAGCAGTATTGCCAAAATATTTACTCATTTTCCTTCTGGAGTCAGGTGGTTGAAACATGACTTCCATGCTTTTATGGAACAGAGGTGGCCTGAAAGGAGAAGAAGGATTAAAACTAGTTTGCAGGGCTTTGGCATGCCATGCCATCATAGACACAAATTTTGTCTAGGGTATGGCTGATGGGTAAATAGGGATGGAGGGCAGAGCTGACAGCTCCTTCCATGTTGATAATTCAGTTTGGCTGAGACCTTGAAGACAGAACCTGTCATTTCCTTGTTGTCAATTTGTTCTTGCCATAGAAATGCTGTCAGTTGTGCTTCAGAGGAGAGAACATGGTTAATCTTAGGTGTGTTCCAGGTGATTAGCATTGTGCTCCATAATTTATAAATTGGTAGTTGATTTTATTCATAATATTGAGCATTGTCCTCTTGAGAAAGATGCCCTCTCGCCTCCAGTTCTGCTTCTTCCTCCTTGCTTAAAGGATAACTGCGAGAGAGGAAGAGTCCCTTTTTTCCCTTCTCCTTTGGTTTGATTAGGAATTTTGCTGTTCTGTCAGATCTTGCAGGAATACATCCTCCAACGTCAGAAGAATATACAGAACTTCAAATAAAAATGCTGGTGTTACCTTACTGTGTTCCTTTAAGTGAAACAAAGCATAGTGCAATGTTGGATACTATTTAGAGACCAGGTAATTGGACAGACTCTGCTGCTCTATTGTAAGTATAAGAAACCAGAGAATTTCTAGTAACTAGTATTTACAGAAACTATGTATTTCTAGTGTAAGAAACTCGAGAAATTTCCAAGCATGGGAAAAGTGATTTTATAAAACAAACAAAAGAAAAGCCTACTGACCTTGCCACCAAACCTTGTTCAGTCTGTCAAGATGGGAAAGACTGCAGGATAGCCTGAAACAGGATGAAAAATTTTGTCTTTGTAAAAGTAGCTCAGTTTTTTCTGGATGTGCAGTTAGTGCTGTGGACAGTCAGACCTTTGAGAAGCAGTTGTTGACCTCTTCTTGTTGCATATCAGACCTGAACATCCAGGAAGCATGCAAGACATAGGGACCCAAAAAGTTACCCACCTTATTTTCTTAGGTTTCCTTAGCTTAAGAAAAGCAGTCTGAACAAGGAGAAAGGTCCTACCATAAATTCTACTTTTACTTCAGAGTTGAGGAAAAAGAGCAGGAAATTGTGGCACAAAACTGATTGAATTATAGAAATGGGCAAGAAATTAAGAGGTAGCTGGCAGAGTTAATGAGAAGGCAAATACTCTTTAAGAGCACATTCCATCTGAGTTCCTGATCACCTTCTACCTGTATTCATTCCCTTTTGACAGACTTTGAAGCTTCTATGTTGGTGGAAAGCTCATTTCTGAGGAAATTGTTGAGAGCATCTCTCACTGTAGGAATTAACTTACTTCATATTTTTTCCTGTTCCCTAAAAACCCCAAATTACTCTGCCACAACACCCAAGATTCCTAACCTTTGTCTCAGAGGAAGTGTGTTGATTTAGCTGCTGCAGTGTATAGGTTCAAAGCATAGTCCTTTTTTCTTTATTTAAATTTACATTTTTGAAGTTTTCTAAGTCTATGAAAGCTAAGTCTATTTTAAACTTTTTCCCCTCACCTAAGGTATTACTTCTAGTAAAACTAAGGTATAACTAAAATATGTTTTAAAAGTGTCAGGGTAGACATTGACCTGTCCAACTTAGTTTGTTCATTCAAATTGGCTGGGTAAAATTAAAAATTAATGAAAGAACACAACTGACACAAGAAACCTGGCAAGTAACAATAAACCTCATCAACTTAACATGCAATCATCCTGCTTAAAACCAATAAGCATGCCAAACAGGCAAGACAGGTTGTGTTGAGAATGATTCTAGATTATCTTGTTGTAATACATTAAAGCTGTAGTTTGACCAGTTTTATTTTAAAACCAATATTACCACAGAAAGCAGGAGTTCCCATGCTTGTGAACTTGCTGTTGGTTTCTACTCAGTGCTGTTTTCTATATCCTTCTCCACCCCCTTTCCCTGATCCTTCTTGCACTGGGATTACTGGGTGACTGTAGGTGAGGCATTTGAGGAGCTCATGTACATAAGCAGGGGGGGAAGCAGGAGGAAAAGCATCTGAGGGCTATTTTTCTACTCAGTGCCTCAATGTTGTTTACCACACTCACCTGGGATGTTTCCAGTGCTACCCTATACCTGAAACTGGGACGGGAAGAGGCAACTTAGAAATGTTAAACCAGACACACACCTGAAACATGACACCCTTTCCTCCCTGTGCTGAATTCATGGGCTTTGTGCCTAGATGAGAATGTTTAGCTGAACTTGTGTCTAGGTGAGAATGTTTAGCTGAAACATGCCCCTTCTTCTTGCAGATAGTGGTGTGCAAATAGAACTTGAAAATGGGTGTCACTTGCTGCCTCAGAACTGCCAGGGAGTGAGCCTTACCTTCAAAACCCATACCCCATTTTCTTCTTGCATCTGCTTGTCATGGATTCAGTTTTTCTTTCTGTAATTAACATATCACAGCTAAAGGGGCCTCTTACTGGAAAAGATGAACAGTCTTCTGGAATAAAAGCAGACAGGCTGCTGTTGTTTAGAATGTAGGTAGTTTGTATGTACCTAAATCATAATGTTGATTTCAGTTTTAAATTAGAAAGCTGATGAGTCTTAAATTCCTGGAACACAGACCTTCCTAAGCTAATCTCCATAACATGAATGAATTTGCCATGGGGGTAATTCAGTGTTTTGAGAAATACATGTTTTCTATTTATGAGCTGCAGGTACTGATGTAGGAAGAAAATGGGAGCATGATTTCCATGAATACTACCAGTATGTGTGTGGGAATGCCCAACTGCAAGGAAATTCAAAGGCTTGGCAAGCCTTTCACTATTGTGACAGCTCCTTTCTAATAGTAGCACACATCTACATAGCACTTGACAGATGGACTGGTTTGAGTACCAAGTTAGCAATGGCCACAGCCCTGCATTTCTGGCTGGGGAAAGTGACACTGAACTAGGTGCTGCTGTTGTGCAATTGCCAGAGAAATTCTCTTTTTCCTGCTGACACTGTACAGCCACTACTGACACCTGGGTGAGGTGATCTCCTGTGCAGGAACCTCTCTGCTTTGCAGCAGGGGTTGGCAGGAATACTTTCAGTCCCCTGGATGTCAAAGCTGGATCACAGTCTGTTTTCAGAAGTAAACACTGAGTATCTCCAAAATCTGCCCTGTAGCTGTAAGTGACAGGTCCTTGTATAACACGTTCTGTGAACTATGACAGCAACCACTGCAGGGGGAAAAAAAGGATATGGGTGGAATGAAAATAAGTTTCATAGGTCTTGGAGTGGGAAACTTTTTCTCTGTGTACAAACAGATGGCTTCCTTCACTTGTACTAAGAAGCTGATAGTTGGGGTTTTTTTCAACTTCTCAAGCTTTCTGTCATCATGAGTTGCAAGAGAAGATCAAAATGGCATTTCACATTTGCATAGTATGCTTATAGAAAGTCATCTCTGTGGTAAAGACTGCAGAAATTGGTGTATGGATCACTTTTGTCATGAAGGACCTCTGCATTGCACTACAAAATCCTGGTTCTTCACTCTTTCATTTCATATCCTTACCATTTTTTGCTTCTATCCAATAGGTAAGGCACAGAACTTCAGACCAGGTAATGGCTTTGAAGATGAACACACTGAACAGCAACAGAGCAAACATGCTGAAAGAGGTTCAACTTATGAATAGACTCTCACATCCGAACATCTTAAGGTACACTGGCTTTTTTCTGAATCCTATAGAGACAGGCTGTCTTTAGGGCTCTCCTCTTTCCCATTTTTATTTAGTTATTTTTTGTTGTAGGTTTATCTGTTCTGAATATATTAGGATCAATGGCTAATTTAATAGATGAATGGGAGGAAGAAGAAAAGACTTACGAGAAAAAAAAACCAAACGTGGACATAATTTTGGTATCTGGAGTTTGACAGTCATGAGTAACTTATGTCAGAGAAAAACAAGTGCTCCCATTTTAAATTTCTGATGAATCAATAAAGTGATATGAAGAGTGAAATTTGGCTTCTTTTTGTGAATTTAAGTTATTGCAGATTTAACACTATTCAGCTAACTTATGGTTACTAATCTTAAAATTAAACAATGCAAAATGCCATAGCTGTTTCCTATTCTTAGGTCTGCTTCTTAGTTTTTAGGACTTTCTTATTGCAGTATTGCAAGGTGGGATAAGAAGGACTGAAGAAAAGAAGCTAGAGTTGAACTAATTTAATTTATATGCTCCTGGAAGGAAAAGGGTAGTTCTTGCTTTGCATTAGGTTACATACAAATCCAGAATGTTCCGATGTGTATCATGTTATTTCTTAAACCGTTTTAGTCTTGGTTTCTCTTCTATGGTGATGTGACAAGCAATTAACATAATTGGCTGAAGCCATAACATTATGAAACTTCAAGATGTGATGACAGTGCACCAAATGACCAGTTCTCCTAAGCTGCTGTTGCACACCTGGGATCCATTTCTGATCTCAGCTCTTTTGGAAAAGTTTTGGAGACACAGTGAACTCTGTTACTTAATTTCCTTTTCTTCGCCATTCTATTACATAGTACAGACATAATACTGATTCCTGAAATAGTTTTTAACCAGTTTTTCTGATCCTTGAAATCCTATCTCAGTCTTCATCAGCTGATTTGTGTCAATATTATCCTGTGTGTTTCCTTCAGTATTTACAAGGACACACATCAGAAGCATTTGAAGTATCCGTTAGGAGCATTCCATTACTTCATGTCTGTCTTCTATTATTCTTTTTCTTAAAACCTCAAAAACTTTTGAACTTAAAGAAATCTTACTTGTAGTAAACTTTGTTGGTTTTATCATAATATATTTATTCAAGTATTGTAGTGATCTATTGCTAAATGCAATTCCTAGTCTGTTTTCTCTGCTCTAAAGTGAGGTGCATTCCAAGCAACTCCTCCTTCTGTTTGTTTGTTGTTGTTATTTTTTTTTTAGATTTAAATTATATAATCTATCTGGTTATTTAGATTTCAGGATCATGAATTGTGTTTTATATTTATTCCCCACATTTTTCCTTAGTTTCTTTTTTTCGGAATCCTTTGATAAGCAGCATATAACCCTGGGACTGATAAAGCTGCTTTTCTAATAAGGTTTGTGAAAAGAGTAACTTTCCAAAGTAAAATTGGCATTGTCAGAATCATCAGCTCAGCATGCTTCATCAGTTTCTTTATCAACTTTGTGTGGTTGGTAAATCTTATTTTAAAAGATTCTGGCTCTATAGCTCTGTTCAAAATCAAGAATTTAATTTGGGATGGGATGAGGGAAAGTAATAAAAGGGGTATATTGACAGGTCAAAAGCATTCGGTTGTACCTAAATATAACCCTGCCCCCTCTTGAATGGGATTACAGAGGTATTGCTGAGAACAAAAATTATTGTGCTCTGTCCTGAGTAATTGCTGAAATTTAGGTGTCTTGTGAAGTAAAAGAGATCATATTTGTGATGTACTGGTCCCCTGTGGCTTTAGAGCCTAATGAATTCAGCAGTGCTACACAGATGGTCCTGAAGAAAGAATAATGTATTGATTTATATATGAAGCAGAAGAAGAATTTCATTTGTTCTTCCAGTTGTTATCCAGGATTGACAGAGAAATCTTTTTCTTTTTGTGCTCAAGTAAGCAGGTACAAGTGAATACATCAGAAATAAATTACTTAAATAGAAATGGACTATCTTGGCACAGTTTTTAAAGAAGAATTTGATTTGTGAATTGCTTGATTTGAGGCTTCTTCAAAAAAAGCAGGGCTCTCTGATAAAATACTGCCTTTTTCTTTTCTGTTAGGTAAATCCCCTTACTACAGGGAGCAGAGTTATTCCTGCAGGAAATGCAAATAAGAAAACAGTATTTAATTCTAGTTGGTTTTTTTACTGAATTATAATACACAGTAAAAACTACTACTTTTCTGTGTAGAAGATAGCTTGATGGTTTTATGTGTTAATGATGTGTCATTTAAGTTTTTGTTTAAATTTTACTGCAGTGTTTTCAATTTCTCTGTGTCTGGGAGAAGATTTTGCCCCTCTTAAATGTTACCTGCCTATGTGTCTGTATATACCTGTATATAAGCACACACATGCAAGCCTCTCCATTTAGGTTTCATAAACGTGTAAATCATTGGTTCTTCTGCTAGTCTTGTGAAACAGCTGCTTCCCACTTTAGAAACACGTAAAAATAATTAATACTAATTGGCACTTAAAGTGGTGAGAAGTTGTGTTGCTTGTTTGACAACATTGTGCTGTCAGATAAGAGCAGCTGAGTTGTATTGCAGAGAGGTTTTTAGGAAAATGTTCGACAGCAACGTGTTCCCACTGAAACATTTTCTGGGATTATTTTTGGAATTTTAATCTTGTGTTAGTATTTAAAGGGAACATCCTCTTCAAAGAAGTTCTAGTATATAACTTTCCCAGGGGCTATGAGCTATCTCAGTTTGCTGTTAAATATTTTCTTCACCTAATTTCTTTCCTTTGAAGTTCTTCTGTGTTACTGAGTAAGGTGTTTTGTCACTAGCATCAAGTTCACCTCTCTATTGATTAGCCACTGCATCTCCTCCACATGCCTTGAAGGTGTCCTCTGATTTTTACATAATACATCTCTGAGCTTCTTCATCTCCTCTGAGCTCTGGGGCTACCTACTGTTAACTTCCACTGTAAACAAGTTTCTTTCCTTCCTATTGCTTGCCAGTACAGATAGTAATGGGTTCTTAGGCTGAAATGTTGAGATCATATTGTGCAGTGGTTAATTGAACCAGGTGAGGGCTGCAAGGTGCTCTGCTATCAAATGGCTTGTAAAATTATAAAACTGGATAAACACTGGCTTTGCAGCCTCCAAAATCTGCTCTCAAACCATCTCAACGTGTGTAGGATAGCAAGTTAATGTTTTAGAAAGCAAATGTCAGCTTGAGCAATGAGGCATTTATTTTAGTATACTAAAACCTTCCTTAAGCTGGGAGTGTGGTTGTGTTTTTGAACATCCTGCTGAGTAATACCTCAAATTTGTTATTGAATCAATGTTTTTGTCCGAGAGCTCTTCTGTAGTTTATATAGTTGTTATGGAAAGAAAGCTTCTTCTTCCTCATAGTGCATTTGGTAGCCCAGGATCATCATGATCCTTTGGGTAAGTAAAAAACCCATCCCTTTGCCTGTGCTCTAAAATATATAACAGCTTTTTACAAGCTGTCCATTCCAATGTGCCCACAGTTAGCTTCAAGATGTTATTGCGAAGATTTTGGTATTTGTGTTGTTGATTGCACTAATGTGACTAATAAATATTGCTGATCGTTTGAAACTGCTTTTTCTTCTGGGCTGTCCATATCAACTCCTTTTCAGAGTTACAGATGCTTTTTTTGAGGTTTTTATCCAGACTCTGGTCACTCTTCTGGAGTGTGAATTTGTCAGTAGTTGCTGACTTCCTTCCATTCCTGAGCTCAGTAGAGATTACCTAAAGGTGCATCTGTGTTTTACCTTGCTGATGCTTTTGCACATCTTGAGGAGATGGAATTGGGTCAAAGTGTTTCAGCTTCTCTTGATGAGTTTCAGTTTTACTTGGTGAAGTACTGATCTGGGTATTTAGGCTTTAAAAGCAACAGGCTTTATTTGCCATGAAGCAAGAGGCTAACTTTAAATCTCCACGCTCATTTCATTGTTTCTGCACTCAAATTCTGCTCTTGGCCAGCCATATAGATCCATCTTGCTTAGAAATGTAAGTGAAGACTTTAGTTTTCACTTACCAAGTCCCCAGTAAGTCTACCATCCCCATGGTAGGATCATAAAGATTCCAGTGGTCAAATATGTGTGTATATGTAAGCTGCTAATGTATTTTCCATGAAGAAAATGAGAGACTGCCCTCTATTAGAGGATTTATTTTGGCAAAAAATAGAACTTCTTTTTCAGTCTGTTAAGGATATTTTAGAAGACTCCAGCTCTTGTAGCTAGACAGGCATGATGGTAAAAAATAGGGGATTTGGGAGTTTTTTTGTCTCCCTTCCTCTTGTTTCTTATTTCAGCTAGCAGATTCTACAGGCAGAGTAGGTGTTAACTACAATGTAGTAACTTTTTGTTCAGTCACTGTCTATGTTTATAACAAACTATGTATGAGACCTGCTTATCTTTTTGGTTTACTGGTTTTTCTCCAGGGTCTGGGCTGGGGACATTTTAGGAGTGGACAGGGCAGAAGCAGACAAATGGTGTTCAAGGAGTGTTTTCTTTGTTTCTACCATCAACCTCACCTCCTGTCTCCATCTCACTCCTGCATACAAATTAAACATGGAGAATTAAAATGCTTTTCTTCCTCTGATCTACATTTCTTCCTGCCTTGGCTGTGGGATGTGCTGGTTTTATCACATCTTCCCTCAGATGGTGAGAGGAGGTGTGGACAAGTGAGCCGAGGTTGGGGTTTGTACCATGTGATGTTTACTATAGCCACTGTGTTTTTCTCCTACAGGTTAGCTGATACATGGCAACACTGTAATTGCTGGAGTTAGGGAAAACAGGGGTTTGGAGCATTTCTCCACTTCTTGATTAGCTTGTGTCCTGTTTAAAGTGCACTGCTCTTCAAGGGTAGGGTTAGCTCAAGTGCCATGGTTATGAAAGGTCTGGTGTAGGCTTGTAGATGTGTTCTGTCATTTTGTTGCTTTCCTGAATGCTGCTGCTGTAGTCATGAGTTTTCACCCAAATCAAAGTAAGAAAATTGGTCTGGAAAGGACTCAAGAAATCTCCATCTTGTGTCCTGAGCTTAGGAGCCTTCAGTCTACAGTCTGAGAGACCTGATAGCTTTTGTTTTTTTTTTTGGTAATATCTTACAGATGTGTTTTTCTCATACAAATGAAATGGTGTGCTACCAATGATTCTCCATCTCTTGTGCTGTCTCTTAAATTGGTGTATCTTCAATTTTGAGGTAGAATTTCAGTCTTTAATATCACTATTGTTTGCATGAAAAAGTATTTCTTTATTTGATCTGTACCTTGGGGACTTAATTTAAAACATTCTGTACACAGAAAGTCTTAGCTCATGTCTTAAGTGTTCTCGTGGGAGCACTTGAGGTATTGCTGCGTGTTTGGCTGTGAGCATGCAGGCAGATTGACTCATTGATTAAATCCATCTTCTTGTGTGTGCAGCACACAAATAAGCACACTGTGTGCATATTCCATGAACTCCTTTCAAGGAGAATTTTATTTCATCCCCTTTGAGACAAATCTATCACCCTGGGAACACAACACCAGGGTGGTTGGGTGTTTTTTTTGGTGTGTGTAGTTTTATCCTTTCAAACCTTCCTTTTGGTAAAATTGCTTGTGATGGGCATTGTTACAATAGCCAGAAGGATGAATTTGGTCTTTTAACATCCTTTGTCCTGTACTGAACAGTGCTTTAACAGGAAAGAAAATTGCATTTTATTCTCTTTGTGTCATGTGGTTATCAAAAAGGAGTATTTTAGAAAGACTGTACAAGGCAGCAGAAGAGAGGCTCTATGTATTGTGTATAATATGTTACTGAAATTATAGGTTAAATACCTTACCTCTTCTGGAAACAAGGTGCAAGTGTAGAAAGCTTAAAATACATTTTTAATCTTAGCATGGTGCCTAAACCATTAAGGAAGGCCTTAATGCAGACTTAATGTTTTTATTTGCCCTAGTCCTTCTCAAAGTCAGTGCAATGAAAAAATCATGTGTCTCCTGACCTTTTGTCTCTGTTACTGAGCCTGTACTAGAGGCTTTTGCATTGGTGTGTTTGGTTTGTTTCTTTTGTTTAATGTTATCAAAGTGCTGAATTTTCTCATACAAACAGTAGATTTTGGAGGGCATCAATTTCTTTTGTTCAACTGTAGCTGCCCCAGGTTTATCCACAGAGCAGGAATGTGTCCCAGTGAAGTTCTTTTAACTGGAAGCATGTGTTCAGTGTCTGGATGTCCACAGAGGCTGTATGATCTGGATATTAGTTTTGCTTGATAAATTAAGGCAGATTTCAGACTGAGGCTACAGTATTTAGTCTCCCCTTGTCTGTCCAGAATTTTCTCCCTTGCCATCTGACTGAAAATAGTTTGTATAACCACTGTAAAGGACTAAGAAATATCCAGACTTCTCTTGGTTTTGTTTAGGAGGACAGGTTTTCCAGATTGGCTGTTTATAAAACGAGATTTCCAGCATGTGTGTAGATTGCTGACATTTGTTAGAAAGCATTTGGTAGTGGAAATGGGCTGCACTCTATTTACTGGGGTGGACTCAAGTATCATCCTTTCTATTTGCAGCTTCTAGCAGAACTTTTCCAACCAGATTTTGGAAGTGTTTCAGCTTGCTGATAAGGCCAGATACACGGTCTTGAAAATAAACTTCCTTAAATCTGCAAATGATCTCCTGTTTTGTGGATGATTGGCCTATTGGAGCTCCTTCCAGCTAGAAATGCTTATAGGAAGTGTGACCTTTGGCTGACAAGACATTCTGCTGAAGTTCACCTACAAGCACATTTTGGCTCAGGAGACAGTGTGTCTAGCCAACAGGAATAATCTCAGCTGTGCTGGAGCAGCATGTCAGCTTCCTATCCACAGAGTTTGGAATCTCATCTGGGGCAATCTCAGAAATTGAAACCATGTTAAATCTTGCTTGGTAACTGTATTTCCCAGTAGCAGCTGGGTGCATTATCTTTTAGTGAAAATCCTTTCCAACAATGTCTTGTAGCTGTTCTTGGCTTAACCAAGTGCCTTATTATTGCTTGATAAAACAGCTAAGCAGAAGTTTTCCAGGAACTTGGATTGCTAGAGGTCTGTTCTATCAATCTATTTTCCAGAGCCTGAAAACTGAGATTCATTCACACAAAGTTTAAATGGCTTCAGTATGTTTCTTGTAAGCTCATTAATTCTGTCTTTATCAGTGTAGTTGGTTTCTCTTTTCCTGGGTAATAGTTTCTAAATATGTGGGGTTTATAAATGTATCTTTATGTCCACATTTTTTTCCATGAGATCATGATGTGGAGCTTTGAGTTTTGATTCTTAGTAGAAATCCTAAGCATGTGAGAATTTTTAAACTCTTACTCTTGGTAACTTGTTTCAATGTCTCTGCTGCCTTAGGCATGGGTTCACAAAGGCAACAGGTATGTTTCCATTGAGACTTCCCTTGACCAAAACAGATGAAAACATTATTATTTTAAATGACTTAATCTCAGTTTTTGTCGAATGAAAATATTGCCATAGCAGGTTAACTTTGTGTGATTGATAGAGAAGATAGTACTTTGGAAAGCTGTTTTATAGAGAAATTAATATATTGGAACTGTGTATTTTCCATTTTTGCTTGTGAGTAAAGCCATTAACACCATGCCTGATAGCTCTGGAGACTTTCAGAATGCACTAAGAAATAGATTTCTGCTCTGTAGAAGTCTGGGTTTCCTCATCTTAGGAAGCTTAATTTGTCAGTTTCTTTACAAAATTGCTCATATGCTGATTGCTGTATGAAGTGAAAGTCAGAACGAGCAATGCTTTGTGTACGTGCTCTATCTAAAAAGTTTCTTCCCTTTCTCCTGAGGGTCTCATCATGCCCTATGATTCTACATTAAACAAGAGGAATTGGATTTTCAGTGTTTCTCAAATTAAAACTCCTATATTCAGGGAATATTGTTTGAGTGTTTGAGGTAAGAGCAGGCAGTAGAAGTTCTGATTCAAGTCTTGCTGCTTCTTAGGTTATAAAAACAGATTTCCACAGCTCAGATTATGCAAAGGACTTTACCTATATTATTTTTCTTTGGCTGCTTGTAATTTGCCAGTCAGCTGTTAGACAACAGAACAGTGAGGATCATTCATTTCTTCAAAAGCAGCTTAGCTGAACCAGCACTACATGTCTTGCATCATTTTGTGTTTAAATTCGGAAGTGTTTCAGGATATAAAAGGTCCTTTTCCTTTGAGTTGTTGTCCACAAGATTCCTGTCACATTTAATGAGATCATACATGTTTAGGTCTTACTTGCAAAATGGAAATTTATGAACACTATGAAAATGACAGACAACTTGTTTTTTCTTGCTGAGACCAAAATCTAAATGCTAAAACTGAGAATTAGTTAATCTATAAAGAACAAACACTTGAACTATCCAGGGAAGACTCTAAAGAATTTAAAATTTCAGCTTTACTGAACTTTCTCACAGGAAATGTTTACTGGTAGCATTAATTTACATTTTGTCACTTTTCAGTTCAGCTTGTATGGTGGTAAAAATGAGCTTTCAGTTGTTTATGGCACATTCTGTTGCTTTCCAGAGAAACCAAGGGTGGCAATCATTGCTATTAACAGCAGGAGTCTGAAAATTGTGCAGTGTAGTAACAATGTGTGTATACTGGATACTATTGAAACTTCTATCCAAGTGTTGGAAAGAGGAGTTGGGGAGGGGAAGTATACACTGCATATGTGCCCTCATGTTCCTGAGTCATTAAGAATGGGATAGGAAGAAACATCTTTATGCTTAAACAGCAAAATGCAAAGGGAAGTAATTTTCTGTTTATGCAGACCAACAGAGGATTACTTGGCTTAAACTTCCTTAAAATAGGATTTTGAGACTGTTCCTTTCTGCATAAATCATTATATGCTGGCCTTTGCTTATAGTCAAATTAGTAACTTTCCATTTTGAGGTTGAGCTGTCTCCTGTGCTCTCTTGGAGCTGCTAATTCAAATTATATTGTAGTGTAGATACATGATTTTTTGTGCTGAGATGTTTAAGTAATCAGTGGTGAGGGAGGCTGAATTTTTTCTTTCCTCCTTTTTTAGTGTATCCTATATTAGTTTTTTAAAGAACAAAAAAGAGGGGGGGAAAAAAGCCCAAACCACTTTTCTTTTCTTGTTTCTTGTAGGTTTATGGGTGTCTGTGTGCATAAAGGACAGCTGCACGCTCTTACTGAGGTAAGACTATTTCATGATATACATACTGAATATGAAATACTCAGTTCTCAGGGCAGATTCTGCTATTGCCATTCACCTTGAGTGAAGGTTCTTCTATGGTGACTGGTGAGTTAACCACTCACTATTTGCTGTGTTAAGGGAAGACAGCAGAATCAGTCCTCAGAACTCCAATTATGGCCCTTGTATGTCTTTTCTTCTCACTTATTAAGGTGGAAAAAAAAATCACAGTAAGAACATAAGACTTCACTGATAACGTTCTAAATGAGAGATGTGCATTACCATTGAGCTGCCCATAAATATTATTTGTTTCAGTGACATTGCCTTGTATTTAAGTCTTATTTCTACTCCATTTGTACATTTCGCAAGTGAATCAATAACGTTTCAGCTGGGTCCTTATTGTATTCACTCCCTGCCACTTTCATATTACAGCTTAATCTGGGTCCCATAAAAAGGAATTACTCCATTGCCCATGTACCCTGGCCAAGATCTAGGTATCAAATATGAAGCTGAAGTTTCCATTCATATGAGTTCCCACCCAGCTTTATTGGGTAGTGTGTTTAATCCCCCTGTACTTCTCAGAAAAACAAGTAGAGAGTATTCTCTTGTTAAGAATAGTGCTGCCTGTTTTGAGTCAAAATTGATAAAATGCTTTGCCTGTTGAATTAATTTGAGTACAGACTGAAAGAAAACTCAGTTTGTAAATTTAATGTTTCTTATTTACTTCAGTTTTGTAGGAACTGCTCAATTAAAAGATTAACCCTTTCCCACCCTCCCAAAGACAAGTCTGTTATTAATTAGCAATTTAAGCAGGTTCCTGGTATGGTGTGCTTGCCAAGAACTGCTGTAAAATGAGGAGACTGAGGAGCTGTATGCCAATTAGCAGGATATGTGTCACCATCACTTTCTGTAACTTACAGAAGCCACTCTTAGGCAAAGATGCACATATGTGGGCAGTGAATTTCTCCACCTTCTGGGGTGACAATGATGCAGTCTGGTTCAGTGTCTGTATTTCTAGTAGAGCAAAGGTAAAGACACTTCCAGAAATTTCAAGATACAGCATGAGTGTGAGCACTTTGCCATGAGAGGGACAGTTTATTTGATTTATTCTTTCTGTTTTTTTTTTTCCTCCTCCCTGTGCTCAGTAGAAGAAACATTCCTAAGATGGCTGATCAAGTTATTCAGGCAGGCTTTGCTAACATTATTGCTGATTTCTTTTGGCTATCTGGTAAATTGAAACAGGGAGGTTTTCAGCCATTCCACTCACTAAACATTGTCGTAGAAGAGGTGGAGCTTCATAATGCTTTATTGTACTAAAACTTGGAAGATTTTGCTCAATGTGGGTTTTTTTGTTTGGTTATTTTTTCCCTTCCTTCACAGCAGTTGCTTACCATTTAAATAACCCTCCCCACCCAAAAAGCCAAGAAAATGAAAACAGCACAGATGCTTCCTCATAGCGAGCTAACTTTGTAGCTGCTGCTTTGTTCAGCTATTTTTGAGTTCTTGGCAAGCAAATAAATCTAAGAAAGACTTCAAAGAATAGCTTTTTATAGTAATAATTCAGAATAACAGAAGAGATTCCTGAAGCATCTTGAGACCAAAAAGGAAAAGAAGTTTACTGCAACACTTTGAGAAACATAAAGCTTAGTGACATATTATAAAAGTATAATTAGTGATTACTGCTTTTCTTCTGTGGACAAAGGTGAGCATTTAATGCCTTCAATAGGAAAATCCATGACAGAAATGGATGCTGTAGTAAATCCACACACAATTTTGCCCAGTAACATAGCTATTCTTTGATTTTATAGAGCTTTTAAAAGTCAAAAACTGTAAATGTTCCAAGTGGTGGAATTGCCTTTCTGGCAACGGTAGTAGCATTTTTCATCTTCAAGTGTGTGTAGAGTAATAGTTGAATTCTGAAGGCTTCTGGAGGTTGGAGAAGGGGGCTGAAACAACGAGCTGAAGGAGTTATTAGTAAGACAGGGTGAATCACCAGTTCAAATATAGCACAGGAGGATAAACAAATTGGCCACTGTCTCGTGGCTTTTTTCAGCTTGTGGTCCACAAAGGTGGTCTCCTTGCTCCCAGTGCTCAGCATAATTGACACCAGCCTGGCACTGCAAGTGCTCAGAACTTCTGCCAAGGTTTCAGTTCTTTGGAGGTGAAACTGTTGATTCAGAGGCCCATTGGTCAATAGGGGTCTGAGTCACTGTAGTGAGAATCCTCTGGCAATTGCCTGTGCTGGACCTGTTCTGTAATGAGTTTAATTATCCCTTCTTGTGTTTTGAGAGTACAGTTGATGATATGCCTATGTATGAGGGATACATCACTTAGAGCTTATGGCTGAGGGCAGCATGATGGGAAATCATGTTTATTTTATATATGTGTATGTTTCCATAACAGAAGAAGTTGAGAACTTTTGCCAAATGTTTGGTGACTGGATTTAGACAACTTGTGCTATTAAAAGGCAAGGCAACCTCAAATGGTGTTAGAAGAGCACTGAGGATTTTGTAAACCTGTTAAGGGGCTGCATTAGGAATATGCAGCACTTTGTTATTGGAAGGCGGAGTTTGAAGCATTACAGATTTCTTTTCTTGCATATTTACAGACACAGGAGGCCTAAACACAGGAGTGGATCATGCAGAGCGGGTTTTTGCCTGAGGAAGGTGTTGATCCTATGTATGCCTTGGGATTTTCCCTTTTGGCAGCATTTTGTGTTGATTTAATTTTCCTCTCTCAAGTGGTTTTTGTTTTTAAAACTCTTGAGCAAGAGGCAGTTTCTGTTTGTTTTGGTTTCTTCTTTTTTCAAAATAAGAATGGAATTGTTTAATTATAGACTGCAGTAAGACTTTGGCCTTGTTCTGAATCCACAGTCTTATCAGTTTTGATAATCCAATATTTTTTTTTTAAGTTCTCAAGCCAGAAGCTATGGTATATGCCTCTTCTGAAGTAATTCAATATCCTTAGATTGACAGAGCAGCTTAGGCTGCCAAGGACCTCTATCCCTGCAAGCACTAAGTTAAGAAACATTTAAGGCAAGCAAAGTAAATGCTTTAATAGGTGTATCACCCAAATGAGCTGGCAGGCATTAGACTGCCTCACTGACGTTGAGCTCATGAGCTCAGATTTGCCATGCTTGTTTTCTCTAAACCCAGAAACTGGGTATTCCTTTCTCAGCATTCAGCTCTAATCTGAAGCTGCTGATTTGTTTCTTCAGCTACAGGCATCTGCAGTGCTTCCTGCTGTACTCACATGCCTCTCCAAACTAATTTCAGCCTTTCCCTCAGGCCTCTCTGTGTTTTCCAGCCACTTTCCTAATCTGACAACTCTCTTCACTTCCATTTCCTGGCACACAGCAGTATCCTAAGTCTGGAGAAACTTGCAGAGTAGCAGAGTGTCTGGTGTCAGCATGGGGTGCTGCAGAGCATTCAGAGGCAGACAGACAGTGTGTGCTCAGGGGACATGGAGCCCGAGCCAGTGGGGAATGGCTCAATAGCAATTGTGTGTGATTTTATCCCATACACATCTACCATGGAATGGCTGCGTGAGCAAACATCCATTTTAGATGGAAGACAAGCAAATTTGTTTGTTGTAAGTTTTATAGGTCTGTGCTATTATACTGAAACAGATAACAGCATAAAGTCTAGCATATAAAAACCACTTAATACCTTCTTGCAGATCTTGAATTGTTTGTTGAACTCAGTTAAACAGGTTTATCTGAATTTCTAAGAGACGGGTCAGGCTAAAATCTTGTTATAATTAGATGTATATTTATATATGCACAGAATAAGTCATACAGCTTGATAATCCTTTCTGGAAGGAAATGAAAGCCTTGGCAGTTGTGTGTATAGATGATAAGAATGGAAAGTTATTGTGTGTTGATTGGGATACCTTGAAATTGCAGTGCTTCGGGGACAATAGTGAATTGTTGCAACAGAAGTTTTATGACTATTAATTCATACTGGATGATAGTAAAATGTGTGCAAATGCACTGCTGCCACAATGTGATTGCTCAGTGTGGGATCTGACATGCACTGGAACTTTCTCAGGCAGAGAGCAGGGCTGTTGCAGTGTGGTAGTTGGGTGATGGAGGGGTAGGACAGTATTGTTTCAGCCAGCAGTGTGTGAGCTGAGAGCTGCCTGAGATGCTCTCCTGGAGTCTTTTACATTTGATCCTTGCTGGTGACTTGCAGAGTCAGACTCATGGAACACGTGACACCACACCAGATAGCTGGAGTGGAATCAGAAGCACTCGTTGGGCAGCCATGGTTTTTTGGTGCTGTTTCATGTTTTCAGTGGGAAAAGTGCTAAATCCCCTGTCATGAAAATGCCAATGTCCTTTGAAGAGAGAGGGTTTTTTTCAGTAAGTTCTTTGGTGATAACTGAGAACTTCTCTTCTTTGCTTTCCTTCTCAACAGCAATAATTTAAGTAAACAATAAATGCAATTAGTGGAGTTTCAGATTTTTGGAGACCTTCCTTTTTTAGCATTTTTTCTTTATTACTTTTGGAGATAGCATTAACTAGAAAGAAAAAATATTGAAAGCTTAAAAAATTCAGAATTGTTTCAATTGTGCTGAGTTGCGCTTTTACACAAGGGCTAGAAGGTAAGTTCTTAAAGTGGGAAGATTTTTCTGACATACAGCTTTCACAAGCAGAGTAAATAATTAAAGGTATTTCATTCTTCTTTCTTTTTTCCTCCCCTCAGTTCTTGGTTATCTTTCTGTAGAGGGCCTTTGACTCTAGAGTGGAGAAAACCAGACAGACATCACTTAGTTCTCTTCTTCTGAAGCTCTATGCTACAGCTAAAATTGTAGTAGTATATAGTGGTTGTAAATGTATGTAGTCATACATTTCCTTCCAGATGGCAATTGCACACTTGTGAAAGTTTTAAAAAGGCCTGAAGTACCATTCCTTCCCTGCTCCCTCCTTGCCTCATCTCCTGTAAGACTCTCTAATCCTTATTTTTGTTCCTCCAGTGTGATTCATACTGTTTGAGTAACTT